GTGATCACCATCTTCAGGGCATTCCCCTTGTTCTTGGCTGCGCCTGACGGCAGTGCTGCTTGCCAGCACAGAGGTTTTGGCAGCTCAGCCAAGGGGATTGACTTGGCTTCCACCGACTCGGTCTTCAGAACTTTCCGAGGTGGCTGCCCTGACTCGCCCCCAGCGGACTCTCGCTTGACCGGGGTCCCAGAGCCACCGGCCACGCTTGCAGGTCTGCTGCTGCTAGGGTCATCGCCGGTGACGTCCAGCGGAATGGTCTCGCGGGTGCGCGATTGCCAGGCTAGCAAAACCTTTTCTGGCGTTTTCAGCGTGGGAAGACCGTCGGCTTTCTTGTTCGACCAGGTGAGAGTATTCAGCTCTGGCTTGGGAGGGAGCGCCGATGTGAGCTCTGCCGGTAGCTCCTTCGACATCAGTGCAGGGGCGCCTGCAGGCAGGGGCAAGTCGCCACTCAAAAAGCCCTCGCTCAGCCATGTCTGCAAATGGTGCTGCTGCCACTCCAGCTCGGCAGATGTCTCTGCGAAGCCGAGATAGTACAGTGGCACGTTTGCAGACTTGCGCGCCCGCTCCTCATATACGGCCTTGGCGAACTCCAGAGTGTGGGCAGAGCAATCGACGATGAGGATGGCCGCTCGGCTGGCGCTGATAGCAGCGCCGGGTAGAAGCGTCCAATTTGCTGGTGTTTTTCTGACTGGCTGACATGCGTTGCCAAGTCAGACGAGTCTGGCAAAGCTTCTGGTGCATGTCCTCGATGGTCAGCATCTGCAAGGAAGGCAGCAAGGAAACGCCGCCGATCACCGTCTGCTGAAACACGGGCGCCGACCTCCAGAACTGCCATGTGGCCTTGTGCGCGGAGGATTCTTCCTGGCCGCCCGGCATCAAGATGAAGCCTGGCTGCAACAAAGCTCGCCGCTCCCTCTCGTCTGTCCTCCCGGAGTAGGCCACTGCAAAGCGGTTGTCCGTGTTCAGAGCTGCGTTGGCAAGCTGATTCACGCAGCCTTGCTCTGCTTTGTACAGACTGCCGCGCTTGTAGAAATGGACTGGGCTGAGGCAGAGGCCTCCGGTCAGATTTGCTTGCGCTTTTTGGGCGCTGCCGCTGTATATGCCAGGCGATGCCCAGTTGATGATGCACAGGTTGTGCACGGCTTCCCTGCCTGGAAGCTGGTGCAGCTTTGTGATCTTCTCAGCCATTTGGAGGGCGGCCTCAAGATTTGCAGCGTCGCGCTTGTCAAACATCGCCAGCCTCATATGCCAGGTAGGCCCATCTTGAAAGACCGCCTGCGCAGCTTGCTTGGCTTGGCTCTGACGATTGCAGGTGTGCTGCAGCTGCGCAAAGTATTGCGCTGCATCCCGGTCCATGCACTTTGTCCGCCAAGCCCGATATCTGTTGGCATCGTGATCCGCTGATGCCAGCATCACTTCAAACGCCTGTTTCTCGAGTTCTCCTGCGGTGATGCGAGGGCCCTGGCCAATTGCAGACATCTTTTCATCCCTATCAGCTAGGCAGATAGCTCGGATCTCTTTGAATGCCGAGATGTCTGCCGGCTGAAAGTCTGTCTTGGCCTCGCTGATAGCTGCTTGCAGTTCAAGCTCGAGGGCGATGGTCCCCTCGAGAAGGCAGCATGGCAGTCTCTCGCAGCAAGGCGCTTGGAACTGGCTGCTGAAGCTGCATCTCTGCTGCGCAACTCACCAACAGCTGTGCCATGCTCATGGCCTCTTCCAGGGCAGCCTTCTCCCATTTTTTGCGCATCGGCCTGGTTTTGCGCATTTGCGTCCCGTGCACGTGCTGGATGAACAAGTTGAACCCGTCCACTGTGACTGTGAGGCGCTTCTGCCAAGGCTTTGCGATGCCGCGGGGGGAGAACCCAGGTGACAGACGTTTGTTCGCAAAGGCGTCGTGCGCGAAAGCTGTGTCCTCCCCAAAGTTGGAGCTGTGCTCGAGCAAAAGTAGCACGGATTCCTGCGGCAGCTCCAAAAGCTGCAGGATGGCCGTGCGCTTTTGCCCTTGCAGGGCGGACTCGCGGGTCGCTGCTTCGTTCCACCGCCGAAGGACTTCGGTAGGCGAAAGTCCCTTCTGCTTAAGCAGGCTGAGTTTGCTGAGCCAAGTGATGGTGTCATGACCCTTTCGAATATCGCCTCGGGCGCTGAGCTTTGCATTTTCAATGGCGATGGAAGCAGCGTCCGTGGCCGCCACTGACCAAGTTGCCGAGATCACGGTCATGCTTTGATGATGCAGCTGGGGACTCAGAGATGCCACGTCGGCCTTTAGGTGGTGAACCAATACGTGCGCAAGAAACAAGATGCTTGTAGCACGCGCAGCTCCTTTCACATAGTGCGTGAAAAACAAAGGCTGGTCGTTGGCGTCAACCGCTGCTCCTGATTCCGGGCCTTGATGCAGAAGCAAAGGCTCGGCCTTGGTCAGGAAGGAGTTGCACAAGTATTCGTCTACCAGCCGGCGCGCGGTGATCTTGAACGTAGCCGGCTTGGAAGTGCAGCTCAGTCCCCAGCCCAACTGCCAGAGAGAGAGGGTCATCGGTGTCTGAGACAGGCTGGTGCCAGATAAGTATGTCAGATCTGGCCTTGGGGGGAAGTTGGCTTTCAGCTCGTCAACGAACTCCCCCCATTTGGAGCTGGGATCCGCCCCCAGCATCGCGGTTAAGTATTGCACAGGGCCCCCGAACGCGTCCAAGATGGCGTCCGTGATGCGCAGTGTCTCTTCTCGAAAATTTTCGGGCTGCAAGGCCAGCTGGCTTTGCAAAATCTGCCCTAGGACCGGCGCTCCTGCAGGAGTGGCCGGCCCCAGGCTCTGAGCTGCTTCGAGAGGTTCCTTGGAGGTCGCTTTCGTGTCTTCAGGCCTTTCATCTGTCTCTGCCTTGGCCTCCAAGCTGGCCGCCATGATGGCGGGCAAAGCGTAGGCGGCAAAAATGGCGGCGGGGGTGAAGCTGCTGTGCTGCTTTGATGTGAATGTGAAGCTGGCTATGCGTGGCTACTGCTGATGCGTGTGTCCTTTCCAATGTCATTTGAGCCAAAACTCGTCTGGGGGAGGGGGTGACATTTCCCAAACTACAAAACCCTAAATCTTGACCAACTGGGGGGGCGGAAATCCTGCCCCCCCAGATCGTCAAGTTTCTGCCGAAACTTGACCATCTCAGGATGGAAACCATGAATCTTGACCAACTGGGGGGGCGGGAATCCTGCCCCCCCACATCGTCAAGTTTTGATAACTCACAAGAGGGATCGTCAAGTTTCTGCCGAAACTTGACCATCTGGGGGGGCGGAAATTCTGCCCCCCCAGATCGTCAAGATTTGGACATGACAACATAATGGGTGTCACTCCTTTTTTTTCTTCCTTGGAGTCGGCGACGTGCTATTGCCAGCGCTCTGGGCGGGCGTCCCGAGAGGTTGCATGCTGGCCCTGCGCAAGCGCCGCAGCTGCCGTCTAGCGGCGGCTTTCCCACTCTGCTTTGACGGCCTTCTGCAGCAAATCGACAAACTCTGGCGTGTAGACTTGGCACCACTTGCTGGGGGAGATGCCGCCCTCGGAGCCTTCGATGACTGCGTGTGCCTCAGAGCAGCAGCATTGAAGGGGGGTGAAAAGATTGACGAGAGCTGCAGAGTTTGTCAGCAGCGTCGTCCGTTTTTTGAGAAGCTTCTTGGTGACCGGGGTGCGCAAGTTCACCCTGCACTGGTCAAAAGAAACCTTGTGAACTCCGGGCTCTTTTGCTACGGCCTGGACACTTGGTCGCTTCCAAGACCTGGCCCTCTGAGGGTGCTCATGGGCAAAGAGCCGTCGCTTGCGGCACTGTCGCTTGGCCACCATCATTGAGTAGTCAAGTAGACAGTTTGCCTCCTCAAATCGCCGCGCTCTGTCTGCGGGATTCATTTTCGCGAGATTGGCGTTTTGCATTGTGCTGAACATCGTGCAGGGGGAAGACAGCATTGCAAACATTGGGTCATGTGCTTCAAGTAAGCTCCATGCCCGGGCGCGATCTTCGAACTGCAGAAAATCGTAGCCCGTGACGATGTCAAAGCTGTACACTGCTAGAAATCTCTCGCGCCGCAAAGGTATGGCGACCCGCGGTGGCGAGAAGAATTCCATGAAGATGTGCTGCCCTGCGTCCTCGTCTTCGATCTCGATGGCCGACCGGTGCTGCGAAGCTGACCTGGCGGCGGAGATATCATTGACTCAACATCATGACCGATGCTAGTTACTGCTTCTAAATGTAGATGTGTGACAAATCTCAAAGCTTGAAGCAAACGCACGACGCCGAGTGGACACTCTGTCAGTGACTCCAGCTTCGCCTCCGTCCGCTGCGACTTCGTGGCCTATGACTGGACGACGGCGGACAAGCGATGACAACGTCGTCGCTGTGGTCGGCCATGATGCTGGACGGACCAGGATGACTGGGTTCAATTTGAACAGGAGGTATGACAAATGGAAGTGGTGGGTTGACTTGTCACGGGTGCCTGTCTATGGGCTTCTTCATGGTGCTATGGTTTGAGCCAAGATGTGGGGGTTGAGCTGCAGCTGTGAAATACATCAGAGAGAACTGTTCTAAGCCAAAGACGCAAAGAAAAGCAACACTGCCAACGCGCATCGCGGAACGAACCGTTGGACGGCAATAGTAAGTGGCGGTCATTCCCGCCAAGCTTTCACCTTGGCTGGCTAGTCGGCGGGCCTCCAGATCCACGCAGTTTCGTCCTGGTTCAGCTGGATGCCGGCCTTTTTTCGACACTGCTGGCAGCCAGACGCGCTGTAACGACACCGGGTGCAGCCGAGAAGCGCAGCAGCGCCAGCGGGCATTGGCAGGCGCCCCAGGTGTCTGCGGGGTGGCCTGGCAGCGGGCACTTCCGAGCCTAGAGCCTGGGCCCGGGCCTTGGCAGATGGCTTGGCTGCAGCTGCCTTACTGGCGGCCTTGGCCTTCGCCTTGCCCTTTGCCTTTGCTCCGGCCTCGGCTTTTGCCGCCGGCTTGGCCGCTGGCCGTGGCGAAGGGTCTGAGCCGGGCGCTGCCACTCTCGGCGGAGCGCCGCCTCTACCGTATAAGGCTGCCGGAGCGCCGCCTCTGCCCCTGGATCTGACACGCGAGAAGCGGCTGGCAAGAGTGGTCCTCCATCCAGTGGACCGGCGGGCGGTGGCAGCTCTGGCGTCGATGGCTCAGCCTCTGGGTGGGACAGAGTCTGGCCCTGCTCTGGAACAGCTGCTGCCTCAGAACTGCTAGCGCCTCTGGCCGCGGCAGTGCTCTCGTCTCCGATTGTCGGTTGTCGCAGCAGCGTTGGCTGCTTGACTTGCGGCGCCGCAATTTTTGCGGTGGCCTTGCAACTTGGACTGGCGCGGGCTTGGCGTGGTTCCAAGAAAATGCATTTTCTGCCAGCGCCCGTCCTACCGGTTCGTCGCGGGTAGCGTCAACCTCCGCGCGAGTCCCCTGCAACATCCACTGCGTGGGCAGAGGGACCCATTGCTCGGAGGTGTTGTTCGCGTTCTCTTCGAGAAACTGCAGCAAAAACGCGCACCCTGCGTGCATTGACCAGGGCTCCCGCGAAATCGCCTCTGCAGTTTTTTGGAACTCCCGGTGCTGGCGCTGCGAAAGCGAAAGCCGTGCAGACAGCTGCGAGGGGCCATTAGGCGGCAGCTTTTCAAAGTCGGTGGCCCGAGCAAACACAGCGGGCTCTTGGCAAGGCTCGTGGCTGCTCAGGTACTGCTGACAAGTCAGTATCACATCCTCTGCGTCAGGATCGGCTGATGGCAGAGTTGGCCCGCCACTGGTGCTACCGCGGAGCGCGAATCCAAAAGCATGAATCGCTTCCTCGTTCCGCTGCTTTTGAAATTTAGTCTGCGCGTGCCCGGACACTCTGAGCTCCAAATGTTGAAAGAAGCTTTTGAAGTCTGGGGCTGCGTGCAGGTGGTGGACGGCGAGCTCGCGGGACTCTCTGGGCTTCACCCCGGAGCGGATTGCCTCTGCAAAAGCTGACGGGTCCTCCAGCACGGTGGACTGCGACAGCGCCGACCTCAATTCAGAGAATCGTTGGTCGATTTTGCTGTGCGTGTGTCCGACTCGAAACTGAGTTAGGAGCACGCTGTCGAACAATTTGCGCTTCACCAGCCAAGCTGCCAGGAAAAAAACTGTCTGATTTTTTCCTTCAGACGCCGCGTTGTCGGTGTGGAGCCGCAGGTGGCGGGGAAATGGCTTTCCCCGCGCCTGAAAGCTCTCTTTCGCAAGCTGCAAAGAATGGCCGATGATTGTGATGTGAGGGTCGGCGTTCTTTGACAGGTCGGGATCGCACAAGTAGTAGCACTCGCGCAGGCCTTCTGTGATTGCACCGATCAGACTCAGTTCGGGTCGCCAAAGGTTTTGAAACTCTTTAGAGGCGCCTATGTTGCGCGGGCAGCGAAATTTTGCTGCGTCCATCGCGTCGATTGTGATGGATAGCAGCGAATTTTCGCTGCTGGGAACTCCTGTCAAGGACCCCGCAGCCAACTGAGCGGCTGCGCACAGGCGCTGGTCCGCGGCCCTGTCTTGCATGACAGCTTCCAAGTGGCTTGCGTACTCCTCGGAAACTTTTTTGGAGTCAGCCGGCGCACTGCACTGCTTGCGATACGCCTTAAATCGCTCGCGAAGGGAGCACTTGCTGTGCTGGCCTTTGTTGCGGATCTTTAGGCGCTTGGCCCACCGCAGGTGATAGCATCCGATAAAGGTCGAATACGACACTCGCGTGTCTGGCAGGAATGACATCGATAGATCGTGCATTTCAGCCAGCGTGGTCCCTGGCGGCATCCACCGGACCCCTTGCTCCTCCTCTTCAAGGCGGTCAAGGAAAGGGATGCTAGCCAGCTTCGGCAGAGGATCGGCAGCGATGCGTTTCTTTTTGGCTGCCGCTTCGCATTCGCCGTCGACGCGGACGCCCTCTGCGAGGTCCTCCGCAACATTTTGATGCAGCCAGGCCAGCAGGGCGTCTGCGTGCTGCAGAGCGGGCCGGCTGCTTTTTTGTCTTTGGGTCTCCTTTAGAGAGCGCTCTGGCTGGAGTAGCCCTTCTGAAATTTGCTTGTTCATTTTTTTCATCTGGTGTTTCGTTAGCTTTAGAATGCGGCTCGTGGCTTCCTGGCACAGGGCCATGTTCCAGGCATGGTACCTGCGCCAGCCAGTGCCCGACCCCCATTGCTTCAAGCAAGCAAATTGGAGCATCCTGGCTTGATCGCGGCTGCTCTGATCCAGCGCTTGCTGCAGCTCGAGCACTCGTCGGGCCAAGGCTGGCGACTCCTGGAGCACCCTGCGGCAGCCTGAAAGGCAGCATGCGTGAGGGTCTGCTGATTCTGCTGCCGCCTCAGGCTCGGCGTCGGATGGCAGATGAACTACGGAGCTTGCGTCGCTTGGCAAGGAGACCGGTGACTCCGGTGGGCTCAGCGGCGGCTCGGGTCCAGGCGCTGCCGACATGAAGGATGGCGAAGGGTGTTGCAGGGCTTTAAGTTTACTGGCGATCTGCGTGCAAGGTTAAGGCGTCTGGCTGGAATTGCGCGTGCGTGAACTGATTAGCAAACATACTAGAGCGACAGTGACTGGAATGCGGCTCAGAGCTGCGCTGAACCAGCATGATGAGTGAGCCTGAATGCAGTCAGGCATAAAGTAGATGGCTGGACCTACCAAGCTTTAGGAATGGCCGTTTCCGCGCTCCTTTTTAAAAGTGACAACCCTCCTATTGCGCGTGTCCTGACAGTATCTATTATTGTGAGCGTGCTGAGTCCCATTTGCCGAAACAGAGGAAAGGTTCGCTCGCCCGTGCTGAGTTAGTTTTCAAGCTAATTCAGGGGTGGGCCTAGAAATAAACACACCGCATGTCATGCTGAACCAGTGAGTTGACCAGACCACATATTGCGTTGACTTTAAGCTTTTGGGTTCCCAAGACAAAGGGCAAGGGTCAAATTCTTCTGGGGGGCTAAGCTAACCATGTGTCTAGCCCAGGCCCACCTGCCGCGCGCGCGGTGCTTTTTTTACGCCTCAGCGCCGTGACCATGCCCCTGTGTGGCGCGCAGGCCTCAAGCGGCAGTAGCTGGACCTGGGTTGACCTCAGGGCCTCCAGGTCCAGCGCTGCTGCTTTTTGCAGTGCCAGCTATGCTGCTCCGCTGCCCACATGTCTCCAGCCGCCAGCATTTTGCCGCACCCGAAGGAGCACGGCTCCTTGCCTTGGCCATGCCCCCTCAAGGCCAGGCAGCGTGAGCTGGTCCGCATGTGCGACTGCAAGGCGGCCGAGTCGCCCGCTGGGTGGCCGGTGCCTTTGATCACGGCGCCGCAAACCTCGCATGTCAGGCCGCGGTGTTGGCGGTAGGCCTGATTGGGGGGGGCGGCGCCTCGGACTCAGTGTCAGCAGCCTGCCCGCGCTGCCTATGCGGTGGCAGTGGCGGGGTTCGCGGGCGCTTCTTGCCCTCGGGCGGGCCCGGCGGTGGGCTGCGGGCGCCCTCACTTGCCTGGCGGCGCTGCCTGCTGGCAGTGGCCGCAGGCTCGGGGCTCTTCTGGCGCTGCTGCCTGGCGCTTTTCTCTCGGCGCTCATTGCCCTTGCTGGCGGTAGCCGCGGGCTCATCAGCCTCGCGGCGCCGCTCGTTGCTGGCGGTGGCCGCGGGCTCAGGGCGGCGCCGCTTGTCCTTGTCGCTGGCAGCCTCAGACTGCTCCTCGTGGGCGGTGGCCGCAGGGCTTTTCCTGCGGCGCCGCGGCGGCTCTCCAGCCTCGTCACCAGTGGCCGCCGGGCTTGTCAGTCTTACCCGACGGCGCTGGTTTGGCTTCAGCTGCACCTTTTTCCTCGCCGCCTTTTTCTTCCTCTTTTTTTTGGCTTGCTGCGGCGGCCGCTGCTGCCCCTCAGGGCTGCCCAGGGCCGCGTCTTTTTGGCGGTACCTGGGTGCCCGACACACCGGCCCCAGGGGCGAGCTCGGTGGCGTAGGCGGGCTGCTGACGCTGCTGCTGCTCACACTCACCATGGCAGACCGCTTGTTTTGAAATGGCTGCGGATAGGAAAGCGACCGAAGCCAAGAGACTACCTACCCTTGGCACCCTGACCTATGTGTTTGCAAAAAAGTTGGTTTTAGATTGCAAAAAAGTTGATTTTAGTTTGAAAAAAGTTGAATTGAAAAAAAATATGCCTTACAGACACACACACACACACAAGCACGCAAGCACGCAAGCACGCAAGCACGCAAGCACGCACACCCACACGCACACGCACACGCGCACGCATGCACGCTCGCACACACTCACACACGCACGCGCGCACACACACACGCACACACGCACACACGCACACACGCACACACACACACACACACACACACACACACACACACACACACACACACACACACACACACACACACACACACACACACACACACACACACACACACAACACACACACACACACACACACACACACACACACACACACACACACACACACACACACACACACACACACACACACACACACACACACACACACACACACACACACACACACACACACACACACACACACACACACACACACACACACACACACACACACACACACACACACACACACACACACACACACACACACACACACACACACACACACACACACACACACACACACACACACACACACACACACACACACACACACACACACACACACACACACACACACACACACACACACACACACACACACACGCACGCACGCACGCACGCACGCACGCACGCACGCACGCACGCACGCACGCACGCACGCACGCACGCACGCACGCACGCACGCACGCACGCACGCACGCACGCACGCACGCACGCACGCACGCACGCACGCACGCACGCACGCACGCACGCACGCACGCACGCACGCACGCACGCACGCACGCACGCACGCACGCACGCACGCACGCACGCACGCACGCACGCACGCACGCACGCACGCACGCACGCACGCACGCACGCACGCACGCACGCACGCACGCACGCACGCACGCACGCACGCACGCACGCACGCACGCACGCACGCACGCACGCACGCACGCACGCACGCACGCACGCACGCACGCACGCACGCACGCACGCACGCACGCACGCACGCACGCACGCACGCACGCACGCACGCACGCACGCACGCACGCACGCACGCACGCACGCACGCACGCACGCACGCACGCACGCACGCACGCACGCACGCACGCACGCACGCACGCACGCACGCACGCACGCACGCACGCACGCACGCACGCACGCACGCACGCACGCACGCACGCACGCACGCACGCACGCACGCACGCACGCACGCACGCACGCACGCACGCACGCACGCACGCACGCAACACAGACACATAAACACACATAGGCAAGCACCAGTCTTCCGCGCATACTGTCACCTGCTGGTTACCCGATGAAAAAAAACAAGGAAAGCCGTTAGCTTGTATAGACTGCGCAGGCACTTAGACTAAGAGTTGCAATGATGTCCAGGTAGAGCGTCAAGGAAAACCGAATTTTGCCTATTATGGGTAGTCGGGTTCTAATGGGCCAGGTCTTTGGTGTCCTTTTCAATCAAACCGTGCCCGCCTTTCCAATGGACTTAGCTTCAAAAGCTGCGTGGCGAGCATGAGTCATCACGTGTCGCAACAAAGGTTTTTTTGCTTGGGTAACCTGCCCATGAGAACTCCCACAGTCGATCTGTTTAGGTCTTTGACTTACTCATGGCCCTATGGCCGTATGGGTTGGCGCCGGCCATTTGTTCGGAAAGGCTGGCTCACCACCTTTACACGGCGGAAAATCATTTTCCGAATGGGTCCCCAGCCAATCGATCAATCAATCAACCAACCAATCAATCACCCAAGCAATCAGCCTTTTGAGTTGCTTGGAGCTTGCTTACTGTATCCCTTTCTTGAAATCCGGCATCGACAGGCTGCTGAGGGCTGCGGGCTGTCCAGCTCGGTTTTGAAGTTCTAAGATACATCCTTGTCCGGCGCAACCAGGACCAGGAGCATCGCACTTGACTTAATGACCCCTCAAAGATGGTTGCTCATGTTTCCAAAGGGCAGTGACGCAATGTTTCAAGGGCTTCGGCAAACAGGTGTGTCTCCTGCGTCGTGCTGACTCCATTCCAGGAACTCTGTGATATCAAGCGAGTACCTCTGTGATATCAAGCGAGTACCCTTGAAAGTGCCAAGGTGGTCATATTGTCTTTCTTACAGAAGGGGTTATTTCCGCAACCATGGGCAGCTTGGGTCCGTTGTGATTCCTCAAAGGTCACTGGCCAGGGAAGGGGAGGTAGATACAAATTTGCAGGACATCAAGTGTACTGTAGCTGTTGGTTCCAACACGCAGGTTGTGCCAACTTGGACCCCGCACATGTTCAGATTGCAGTGTCAGGATCGAGCCTGGATGTCCACAGATCAACTTACTTTGGTAACCCCTAGTTGGCTGTTTGGATTTGGATTTGAACCTCTGGTTGATATAGAGGGTAAATGGGAAGCCACCCCCTGCAACATCTTCGATTCAATCAGGCAAGCCACCAACTGGAGGGAAGCTGACTCATGGAGTTTCAAAGACTCCACTGAAGGCCTGCTGGTTGAAATTGAGGATGCCCCCGGACTTGGGTTTCGGTCAAACTGCTCGGCTGCGTGCGACCGGGAAGCCTTGAAGCGACCATGCACTGTGGAAAAGCAACGGAAGATGTGTCGTCCATGTGTCTTTTGTTTTTTCAGCAGAGGCTGTTTTTATACTTACGACTTGACTTCCTAGACGTTAAACATTTGGGGAATACCATGTTTGTGGCAAATTACAAAATTGGACATGTTGTTAGCCCATCCATTCAAGAAGTGAGTGTATGTCGATGTATGCCAGTTTGGACCCCATTTGGGTCTGTTTTCCCAGTAAAGTCGGAGTCAACATTAACTAGCAACCTACTGTTTCGTACCAGAAGTTCTCGTAATATGGGTTCTTGCATTCAGCCTGTGAATATTGCGGCTCACTTTGGACTTTCAGGGAAGATCATTCTGCCTTGCAGCGCCTGACTGGTACAGGTGGGATTTGCCTGCCTCCTTGGCCTTGCCCTCTAAGTACCAACTAGGCACCCTCCTGGAATTTATCATGGAAACCTTTCTCCCGAACGCATAGCAGAAGAGTTCCTGTTATAAAAAGGGTTCTGGACGTCAGCGTGTGTTCGAGTGATGCGTTGCTGCGTCCGCAAGCGGTCCCCAGCGTTCGCAGGTGGCGAAAGTTGCTGTGCCGTTGGGGAAGGCTCAAGATGTGCTGTTTGTATGACTTGCAGCATGTTGGTTTCGTTGCGCACTGTATTGCTGCGCAGGCACTGTTTTGGAAGGTTACGCGAGTGCATCGCCGTGCCGTGCCGTCGTGATTTGCGATTTGCAGGCGATCGTTTTGGCTTGGCAAGCGCCTGAATTCTTGTTGGGCCTGTC